GACTCCTGCCTGCTGAGCACACACAAGCCCACTGACTTCTGCCCCTCCTCACCAGCCAGTTTCACCAAGGGGTGTTGGCATGACAACCATGATCAGTATTTCAAATCCTATGTAGAGAAGTAGAGCTCCCAGCTTGAAAACCCCACCTTCAAGGAGAAGTAAACAAGCCGGAGCATGGAGCATGTGGGCCTCTCTGACAGATGGCACAATTCGAGGATAGCTAAGGACCCCACATCACCTGCAGCCCCTCAACAACTCAAGGCAGCCGGGTAGGGAGCGAGGACAATGCATTGATTTGTAGGCCAGGTGGAAGAGAAGTTGACAGCATCTCCTTCCCAGTAAACTAAAACTTCCACAAACTTGCCCACTTTGGCTTCAGGAGCAAAGCCATCCCCATGTTGACCAGCCTCTTTCCTGCACTCTCTGACCTGCCACATTCCCAAGGCTCTCCAATAACAAGTCAGCTCATTGCATTTCATAAAATCTTCCAGACCCTGGACAACCTGCAGGGCACCCAGGACCCTGCTGCTCACCTGGACAGACACAGCCCAGCCCTGGCTCCCAAGGCACGATGGGGAAGTGCTTTCCAGGAAGACGGACCCAGCAGTGAGGAGGGGGAGGGGTCACAGAATCCTCCTATCTACACCTCTGCTACCCATTCCACTGCAGCCAGAACACGATCTGTGTCAGATGTCACTGTCCTCTGCACACGCTCTCAGGCTCCCAGTTCTACAGGATTCCGAAGGACTTCAACCTTTGGGAAGGGCCCACACTGCAAAATGTAATGTCGCCAAGGGCCTTCTCTCCCTGCCTGACACTTGCTTCCTGACACCAAGACGCCATGTCAACAAGCCCAGAGAAACCAGGCATGGTGGCCCACATGTGTCATCCCAGCATTCAAGAGGCTGAGGCCGAGGCTGGAAGATTGTTGTCAGGTCTTGGTCAGCCTGGCTTACAGAGTGAGTTGAAGACCAGTTTCACATACACAGTAAGACACTATATCAACTACCCCATCTCCCAAGAAACACCCAAAAGCCCAGAGCAGCAGAGCTGGTGTGGAGAGGGTGCAGTGTCCACTGGTGACATCTGCTTCAACACACCGGGGCACACCTGACGTCAGGGCTCTTGTTCCAGCCTCCTTTTCTACCAGTCCTATTACCTTGCACAGGACAGGGGAAAGCACGCGCGGGCTTCTTGGGAACTTCATGCTGAGAGACTGGACATAGTGAGAGCATTTCCCTGCTTCATTTGTTTGCTGTGGCTCCTCTTCCCTGAGACAGATGCTCACAGGCAGGGAGGGGAAAAGGCACCTCCAGCACCATGGGTCCTCTGTTCTTGTGCTTTGTCAGGCAGCCTGAGAAAATGCTCCCCGCTTCCCCCTACATCTCCCAGATCAGACAGCCCGCCTGGAGCCTGGCATGAGGCATTAGGATGTCAGCACTCAGTGGCCTGTGGCTTTGGGCTGTCTTCTGGACCCCACCATCAGATCCTCAGCCGTTTTCCCCACGGCTCCCTGTTAGGCACACTGCAACAAAGCTAAGGGACCACTCATCCTGATTTTCTGCCCACACCCCTCTTTTTATGCTCCATCTACCTGGATTCTCCAGTCACACACAGGTATCCTCTGATCCCATAACCTATCCTCACATCGCCCACTACTGCCTCAAGAAATGGGAGGTCCTTGAAAGGAAGGAAGGAAAAGTCTATCCCCAAATGAATGCTCCGCCCGCAAATTGCTCCACAACTTCCACCTATTCCAAATAGTAGCCCTTGAAGAAAAAGCACATGTCACCCCTTCAGAAAAGACTCTCCAAGAAGACCCACATATGAATTCAAGGGTGAATCCTGCAAGTATCTTTGGAATGTTTGTGGTTTATTTCTATCACTTTCTTCTTTCTCCTCTTAACTGAAATTCACAGCATACCACTGCTTTTACTTATTTCACTCTTTAAGCCAATTTCCAGAGCCCACAACCCTATGCCATACTCAGCCAGATCCTGTCTATTTGGAGAATGTTTTCCCATGGACACTGCAGTGTATGCAGAGAAAGTTAAATTGTGAGCTGCTGCTCTCTCCTCCCTTAACCAAAACTTACAAACAAAAGAAAACCGGGCAACTAAACCGTTCAAACTAACTTCCTTATCACTCTCAGCTTAAATAGACATCCATGACTTGCTCAGAGAATCTTCTCTGTTAGCATTTAATGTCTCTCCCCAATAACCATGAGTTTAGTCTTGGGGAAACATCTCAGTGGTAGAGTCCTTGGCAGTGACGTGTGACATCCTGAGTTCTACACTGAGCACCAAAAAGAAAAGCAAATGAGATGCAGATACAGCCAAAGAAAAGATCCTTATTACACTCCTATTTACCCCAATTTTCGGGATTACTTGCAAATACTTTCCTACAAGTGAACCCTCCTATAAGCTTGCTTTTCCCTGCACCCATTTGCATTCTTTCCAGTTCAGACTGAGCTCCAGCAGGGCTGCACACAGTCATGCCCCCTCCAGCATACCACTCTTCCACTGAGGGGAATGTTACTTGGTGAATAAAAACATACAGACACTCCTCAAAAAACCCCTGAGGTCTGTTCCTGTGCCTAGCTTCTTCGATGAATTGGTCGCTATGTGTGGAATTTTATCCTATATACAATACACTATGCTGAACACAGGAAACTTTGACTTAGTGCTTATGCTTTTTTTTCCTTTTATTTTTGGTACTGAGGATCGAACTCAGGACATTGCACTTGCCAGGCAGGCGCTTGTGCCACTGAGATACAACCCCAGCAGTGCCTGTGGTTTTATGTCCAAAAGTTTTAACGCAGTAACGTGTGACAGAGCATGTAAGTGCACCGCTGCACAGTACAATCAGCAACCATGGCAGCCCACTATGGAAAAGGTGTACTGTACATAAGAAAAAGAAACAGAAGTTCTGGAAACAAAATGGAGAAAACTCTAGCTAAAAAGGACAAGTCCCAAGTCCAAACACTATGCCTCAGATGTTAGTCCAGTCATTCAACAGGTAGGTCATTGAATAAAGACTACCTGTCCACACGTCTATGTATTAAGCATGTTCGTAATTACACCTATTTTGTATGCCTAGCTACGCATGTCATTGCTCACACAGAGTAAGAGAGGCAGCATGATGTTTTGCTTTTCTTTTATGAAAGCACCTTCCCTGTGCTAATGGGAAGGAGCGACAAGCCCGGGATGACTCTCTCGATCTCTCTCTGAGTCCTCCTAAGTGCAAGTCTTGCTCCTCACAGTGGGAAAGGACAAGAAATAATGCCAGCTTCACAATGGCCAGGTACAGCTATGCCCTGAAGCAGGATGGACAATGACTGCGCTGCCAATTGGCTTTCCTTGGATTTACTCACCTGCACTCTGGATTCGGGCACATTCAGGTCTCTTGCAAGCATCAGTCTGTGGAGAGAAAACACAAGTGTTCCACGTTCGGTCATCTGGATGAAGGATGCAGAGTTCTGTACCAGTGGAAATCTGCATATCCATTCTGTGCTGGACGGGCACCTGCAATCACCCTCACTATGACCCAAGGATACTTTTCTCTTTCCCTCAGAAAAAGTCTCCCATCAGCAGCGGTGTGACCGCCTCACAATACTTAAGCTGAACATGTACGAGGTATTTCAATGCATTACTTTGAAAAACTGAAAATGAATTAGAAATCTACAACAAGAAATAGTACAATTTTTTTACTTTATGGAAAAAAAACCCTAAAATTTCCAAACAAAATAATAGGAGAATAACAATAATTAATATGTTGTGTATTTCCATTTGAAACTAGGTTCTCAGAGTAAACAATATGTTCTCCCAACTTTACTAGGACAAAACTTTTTTTCAGTGAAATAACAGAAACTAGTAGTACATCTACATTGTACTTTTCTTTTTTCCCAGCCTTCCTTTCCCCTTTCCAACACCCTAGTTCCTCTTTGCTTTGATCAGCAAGCCCATAGCACAAAAGTATCCCCTTCCACTGACTCTGACTCCCAGGAAATTTCATATACAACAGAAGCCACGAAACCAAGAAATGCAAACATATGCACTTTGTCAAATGGAAACAATTCGGTAAGACGCCAAACCCAGTCCAGGCCCTGAAAAGAAACCTATAGCATGGGAGAAAATTCTTGCAAAGCACGCCTGATATGGAAACCCAGAAACGCCTCTCAGAAGTCATTCAGGAAAAAAACCCAGCCAGGTTCAGACATCAGAAAGGACTCAGTGAGACATTTCCCAAAGAAGGCCTAGAGATGACCATGAAACAGGAAAAAACACGCTCAAAATGACGAGCCAGAGATGCACTTCCACACCACACCCACGTCAATCATAGCCACATCTGAACCACTATCGAAGCCTGGGAAATAACAAGCATGCTGAGCACAGGGAGAAGCTGGAACACGTGGTCACTGTGAGAAGAAATGATAAACTCTGCAGCCTCCCTTGCAGTCTGCTGGGGCCGCAAAGCATAAACACAGGATTCTACGCTCCAGTGATTCCGTTTCTGAGCATGTCTCCAAAGCACTAAACTCTGGGTGGTCTCAGCTGTCAGGCGTGTTCCCAACAGCACTGCTCACACAAGTCTCCTCTGCACAGGTGAAGGAGCACCAAAGCAGTATCTATGCAAGGGGACACTGCGGGGTATTCAGAAAAGCAACTTGTGACACATGAGGCAGCGTGGATGCGCTGTGAGGACATAGGAAGAGAAATAAGTCAGGCCCAGAAACACTAACCGCTGTGGTTTCTCTGAGGCCTGGGTCCTAGAGAAGTCAGTCTCACCGAGTCAAAACCTGGAATCGAGATTGTTAGGAGTTGAGGGGATGGGGGAAAGCGGGGTGTTTCCTGGGGATAGTCTGATTTTGTAAGATGAAGAGCGCTCTGCAGATCTGTTGGACTGCAACGGGAACGTAGCTAACACTGCTGACAACTCTATATGACATGAAAATATTTAACACGGCTGACATCCATACTTCCAAGCGGAGTTGGTAGCAAAGTCTTAGCGTGTGCGTCTCACACCACCAAACAGGAGCAAAACAAAGTAGGAGCCACCAACCAGTTTGCAGACCGGATTCCCAGCAAAACCGCAGTAAAACGCTGACCTTGGTCCACACAAGGAGCCATCCCACCCAAGCACAAAGACAGGCAGGCCAAGACCCCGCACGCTCTGAGTCCAAGACGGGAAAGAGGGCAGCAGGAGAGCGACAAAGACACCCGGAAAGGCGCGCACCCCGCGAAAGCCTGGGTGCACCCCGAGGCGGCAGCTCACCTCGTAAGGACATCCGGGTACTGAGTTTCCTGGAAAACGCTTTCCAGTTCCTGCACCTGCCCCTGCGTGAAGCTGAAGGGGATTCGGCGCCGCGGGGGCCGGCCCCGCCGTCCAGCCCTGGCACCCGCGGGATCCTGCTCGGCCGGCGACGGCTGCTCAGGCTCCCGGTCCCCGTCATCCGCCTGGCGGGCAGTGCCACCTCCGCTGCTCACAGGCACCTCTTGGCTCAGGTTGTGGCCATCATGGTCATCGTCCTGCAGGAGGCCCTCAGCTTGACCGGCCGCCGCGAGGCCGGCAGCTCCTGCACTGGAGGGGCCTCCCTCGGCTGCTGCGGGGACACCTGCGGCAGGACCCGCACTAGCCTCCAGCTCCCAGAACTCCAGGCCCAAGGAGCGGGGCCCATGGTGGTGGCGCTCGTTTTCCATGGCTGCCGGGCGCCACAGCTCACGTGGCCTCTTCCTCAGCAGAGCCAAGCGAAAACGCAGGGTCTCTCGCGAACGGGGTGGCGCCCGAGGGGTGGAGCCTCGGCTTGCAATTGGCTACAGGGAGGCTGCAGGCCATCTGGCGGGCTCGCCCGCGCAGGGTCTCTCCTGACCTCTGCTGTTGGCGGTCTGCATTCAGCCCAGCTGCAAGGCCGGGAGTTACAGGGTAGCAACAGTGATGGGGCGTGGCCAGACAAGACGCCCAGGGCTGAGCAAAAGAGGTACTGGTACTGCACAGGCCCTGAATGAGAGTGCACCCTGCCTCTTAGCTTGCTAACTGCCCTCTGGGGATCCCAGAGATCAGGGAGGAAGGTACGGGGTTGCTGTGCAAGCCCAGGAGGGCCTGGAGGGGAGGGGGCGAGAACTCACGCTGAAACGGCCTCTCTTCTGGGAGGGCCTGGCACCCTCCCCAGCCCCCACCCGGCACGCTTGCCATGAGTTTCTTAGCAGCCTATGACGTTTTCAGCAGCTCGGCCTAGCTACCTCCATCTTCAAACGTCCCATGCCCCTGAGTCCTGAGGGTGACGCTTGCACTGCTGTTAGGTGACTGGAACACTCAGAGGCTCCAGATCTTCTCACCCTGAGCCAGGTTGTCATACGCCAGTGCTGATCACAGCCTCCCTTGTGGCACACACAGCCAACAGAAAGGGTAGACTAGCCCAATCTTTTCCACCTCCATTGTGCAGCCCCAGATGACCAGAAAGGGCGGAGACTGTGTCTGGGTATAACCCCGGGCTCCTCTGAATCAACTCCCATCGCTGTGCCTGTTGGGCGTTCCACTGCTGATGCACCAGCTCTCATGCTGAGTCCCTGACGCGCCGTGGTTCAAGCGGTCCATCAGGCTTGTTCAGCAGCTGCTCAGCTCGCCCTGTGGCCTCCGTCCAGTGACAAGGCCACACACAGGGTGCTGGACCTACTGGGCTAAGGTACCGGGCTTTGTGTGGACCCTTGGAAGGCTGTGATCTTGAAAAGCGTAACACACACCACGTGATGCATCAGCTGGTCCCAGTGTGTGCTGCTGTCTTCAGGTGGCCCTTTGATCCCTTCTGGGCTGGGCCACGTGGCACCCGCACCGTGCTGCCCCCTCTGGACAGAGCAAGGCTTGGAATTTGCCCTGCCAGACCCCTTAGAAGGCTGCAACCTCCCATTTGCAGTCAGGCCAGCTGCCAGCCCTCTTTCAGTTGCTATTTTCAGTTTTGAGATAGGGTCTCACCACGTTTTCCAGGAGTAACTTGAACTCTCTGTGTAGCCCGGGCTGGCCTCCACTTTGCTATCCTTCCGCCTGCAAGCACTCAAATTACAAGCCTGGGAAACCTCCACAAACACATTCTTTGACCTCTGTAACTAGTATTACACTTATGAACACCCCTAACAAGGGCACATAATGACCTGTTTTCTTCAAATTCTTGTTCTGGGCATTTGTCTAGGTGCCATCCATGACCATCATGCAAAAGTGTAAACACTGCAGTCCTCAGCAAAAATGGGGTCATTCCTCCCCGGTAGAGCTCATGGCAGGGAGCAGCCCCACTTCCCCCATGTCACATTCCCGGTGTTGGTAACGATTATCTCCTTGAGCGAACCCTAGAAGGCCTCTGTGCTCTTTAGCAACCGGGCCAGGATGTGTGGATTTCTGACTTTGTTTCTTCATGGTCCCATTTTAGCAAAACCCCTGCTCAGTCCATTCAGCCATCCGCATCCCTGATCCCTCTGGGTATCTGACTGTGTCTGTCATTCTTGCAGTCCTGTGGGAAGAGAGGCAAGGAACAGTGAGGGGCAGGCTAAGCACCCCTGGCAGGGCTTGGGACCAGGGAGGCCGTGGGTGAGCGGTTGAGGAAAGGGGCGAGGGGCGGGGCACTGGGCCGGGAGTGGCTGGGAACCACGGTCAGGTGTGAGTCCTAGCCTGCCTGGCCGGGGTTGGACGGGGGGTGGGGTGGGGTGCGGGGCCGGGTGCGCTTCTGCTGGGGTTGAGGGGAAGGCAAGGGCAGAGGAGAAGCAGGGTCCCGGGCCGGGGCATAGGGTGGGTTTTGGGTGGTCTTGGGGGCCAGGGCATTGCAAGGGGCCAGGCAGCTCTAGGCAGGGGGAGAGAAGAGAAGCTGGGGTGAAAGGCAGGCAAGGACAGGCAAGAAGAGAGGCAGTGAGGGCAGGAGACCACAGGCCTGGGCTTGTGGGCGGAGCAAGGTGCTGAGCAGGGTGCTGAGCAAGGGCAGGAGGAGGGTCTCAGTGCTAGGCCAGGGCAGGTGATGGGCTAAGCAGGGAGGCAGTGGGTGTGGCCGCAGCGCGGGGCAGGACAAGGTGGGGGTGGGGCGACCGTCTGGACTGGACCGGGCACCCTCTGGGAAATGGGCAGGGAGCGGTAGGAGCCGGGGGCAGAGCTTGGAGTCCTTCTGCAGGGGCAGGGCAAGTCAGGATGCCCAGGGTGGTGCTTGGGGTGGGGAGCAGGGCGGGGTGCTGAACTCTGGGCAAGGGTCATGGGGCAAGGGGCAAGGGGCAAGGGGGAAGGGCCAAGCGGCAGGAGGCAAGGGGCTTGGGGCGGGGTGGGGAGCGGGGCCGGAAGGGCTTTGGTGGAACACAGGCACTCATCGCCCCCTACCGGCTGGCTACCGCACGCGCATCATCCCCACACTCAGCCAGGCCCAGCTTTCTAATCTTCATCCATAGCGGCAGAAATGATCACCTCTGCATTATCTCCACTCAGTGCCTCGCTACGGGCAGCAAGTGTGCAGGTTTGCTTATGGCTACCAATATCACGCCCATAAACTCCCTCGCATAACCGTACCCCTTCACCTCGCTATGTCTGCCTGCACCGTGACTCTTCTAGGCTTTGCCTCGCAGTGGAGTTGAGCCTGATGACCTACCGCCAACAAATGAAAGTCTTTGAAAGCGCCAAACTTTGTTGGCCCAATGCCTGCCGAGCCCTAGCCCTGCCCCACCGCTCGCCCCAACCCACCTAGCCAGGACCCCAGACCTGACCGAGGTCCCCATCCACTACCTGCCCTGTGCCCGCCCCGCGCCCCTTTCCTCAACTGGCGCCCAGAGCCTCCCTGGCCCCAAGCCCTGCCCTGGGTGCCTGGTCAGCCCCTCCCCGCTCCTTGCCCGTCTTCCTGCAGGACTCGAGTTTCAATCCACAGCCTTCAACTGAGCTGACTGAAGGGAGAATTGCCTCCGGGGCACCCTCGCAGCTCTGGTTCAACTGTTGACGCCACAGAGAGAAGCTTAAGGGAATTCCACTGGATCTGCCTTCTAGGCGCTTTTCTTAGGATCAGTCTTATGTGAAGAACTTATGTTCAGAGCATCCATCTACACAGAGTGTCCGCTCAAGGCCAGGGCACGCTGGGGGCTGCAAGACAGGATGAAAACGGAAAACTTACTGTGAAAACTTTCCAACCCTTGGGCTGGGGATGTCGTTCAGCAGTCGAGCGCTTGCCAGCACTCAGGAGGTCCTGCCCGGCATCTCTGACACCACAAAAAAAAGAAACAAAAACTGCCAAGGGAAACACCTTTAAAGGTAGTGTGTTGATTACTGAGGATTGAACCCAGGAACTCTGTACTGAGTTGGAATTCTGACTTTTACAATTATGACAAATGCCACCCACCCAAGCACACTGTGAGTACTGGGGCAGCCCTGGGGGAACGTGACTGGGGAAGGAAAAGGAGTACATGGGAACTCTGTATGCTCTGCTCCATTTTGCTGTAAACCCACAATGGCTATTATTTACAAAGTCCACAGGGTCGCGCATGTGGCTCTGTGGTAAAGCTCGAGTCCAGCATGTCCAGGGCCTTAGGTTTGAGCCCCAGCACCATGAAAATAAAGAGAGAAGCCCATTCACTTTTGATTTTTTATTTCATTGTATTAGTGCATGTTTGCAGCACACAAATTTTACTGTCATCTGGGGGAGTGGAGACATGCACATAACACAGCTTGTATATTTGTTAATCCCCTCCCCCTCTCCTTCCTTTCTCTGCTAGTTCCCTATCCCCCTTTTCATTCCTATTGATTTTTTTTTTTTGTTACATTGAGACAGGGTTTCGCCACACAGTTCAGGCTGGCCTTGAACTCAGCTTGCAGCTCTGACTGGCCCCCAAACTCATAGGGATCCTCCTGTCTCAGCCTCCAGAGTCCTGGGATTATAGGAGCGTAACAACAGGCTGGGTTTCTTGTTGATATTCTTAATCTTAGCCCATGTTTATGGCATGCAGTGTCCAGGTTCTTAGGACCTTGCACGTGGCATACCTTCACTCTACCGATTTCCCCATCGCATCCCCTCTCGCCTGGCCATCAGACCCCGGGACTTCTGCCCATGTACAAGAGACCCATCCCCCTCCCCTCATTCCAGCCTTTCTTTATGCTGCTCTCAGTGTGTACCTTGCCTTCCGCAGATGCGAGGCACCATGAGGTACTCAAGAACAATCAAAGGATGAATGTGGCTAGCGTCTCTGTTCATTGAGTTTCAAGATTTCAAGGTGTACTTTTCTGGGTTTTGTTTAGGTGGTGTTTTCCATATGATAATAGGTGAAAATTTCTTCGTGCAGTATATAACACAAGTTTGCCAAATGGCATTGGGAGGAAGTACTGTTCCTGCATTTTTAAAGCTAGAGAAAAACAGAGCAGAGGGCTAGAAGAGAGAAGGGAAGAGGGGGAAAAGGCAGCCCCATGAGAGAATCAAATGGCAGAGTTCCAGGTTTAAAGATATCCCTTAGGAAACGGCAAGTGGACAGCACACGTTGTTCAGGTCCGCACAACAAAAGTTCTGTACTCGAAATCCTGCAAATAAGGATGGAGTCTGAAGCAATTTGGGAGCAGAAGGCTGTGTCTCACTCCGCTCTCTCTGCACACCTCTTTCTCTCGTCGGGCTTTTCCCACACAGAGGCAAACTTGTCCTTGCTCATGTTTATTTGGCATCTGTGAGACAACACTGCGCTGTGCTTTTGGATACGGGCTGCTGGCCAGGTTCTGGAGCTGCCCCTTCCAGACCCCCTCCGAATCCCTCCTGTTCCTCCTGGAGCCTGTTGGGCAGGAGAGCGCTCACATTCTCCACTCATGTCACGCATTAGCCATTAAAAATGTGCCTTGTATTCCTGTCTT